TAAGAAAAAGGAATTGCTGAAAGTATTACTTCTTGATTCTATTATAATTCTATGATCATAACATGCAAAGGGTATTGTAGCGCACTTGTTTTCTCATTTCACTTCAAGTCTGCCTGACATTAATCAACAAACTAGGAAGTCCACTTCAGAATGAAGTGGGAAACGGCTAAGTTTAAATGAGATCAAAGTGACTTATAAATTGACAAACAACTCGATGGAGTTATACCGAGCATAACAACACTTAAATGAGATCAAAGTGACTTATAAATTGACAAACAACTCGATGGAGTTATACCGAGCATAACAACACTAGAAACCACATGGAAATCTCACTAATCAAATGTATTGACTCCAATTTCTGAATGCCTTGAAAAATAAATGAAATTCTAGTATTAAAAACAAAATGAATCAAATATCATTACTGACACTAGAAACAGATTATTCATTAGCATGGATCCTAAATTTAATGTATCAAAAAAGTTAATAGGTCCTTAATTGTATATGGAACAAGGATTTTAATAGTAAAAAATCTTAAAATGTATCAAAAAAGTTAATAGGTCCTTAATTGTATATGGAACAAGGATTTTAATAGTAAAAAATCTTAAATTTTTCTTTAACAAATTATACTCCAAAGTAGTTCAAAAGGAAGATTAGTTCTTCATTATTACCCATATATTTCTTTAGAAAGTCTACAACAGATAGAAATAATCATTATCACACATAAGCACCTCACAACACCCAAATTCCTTCTCCGATTTCACAAGACCAAGTCAAAAAAAAATTAATAGTTGAAAAAGTAGTTCCTAAAGCAGGATCAACTCATCCTCAACATTTTATCTATATATATTGATCTAAATATCCTACAAACCAACAGAAACAATCCTAATAGCACACAAGAAGCCCAGCTCCGACTCCAATTGCAGGCTGATCAAGCTCCCATAAATTTACAACCAGCGTCATAAAAAATCCAAACTTTTTGACATAGACAGCTAAATACTTCAACCAACACCGAGGATGACATAAAAGAATCGAAAATTCACACTTTCAAGTGGCAAAAAAATGAAGTGAGAGGACACCTTACCAGTTCGAAGGACTCGAAGTCGGAACCCTAGACTTCAATTTGAAAACGGAACCCTAGAGAGGGGGATCAGGACTTGAAACGAAAGAGAGAGGCAGGGGGGAGAGGGGGAGAGGGGGGGCCGGGGGGGGGAGGGGGAAGGGGGGAGAGAGAGATTTTACGAAACGAAAGAGAGAGAGGAACGAGACTTGAAAAGAGAGCGAGAGAGAGAGGATCGGGTCGTGATTTGATAAATGACAGGGGGTGGGGTAGAATTTGAAATCACTTTTTCTGGGCTTCCAAATTCCTGTTTGTTAAATCAATTGATTCAAAATCTTGGTCCAAATTAGAATCCAAACTAGAGATTTGGATTTGAAATACCCTGGATTTTAAATCCAAGCCCAAATCCAAGTTCCCAAACGCAGCCTTTATTTATTAATCTTGGACAAAATCAAAGTCAACTTTCTTTTGCACTTAGAATATAAAACTGTCAAACTAAAATTTCAAAATATCAAAATTGAAAAGGGTGAAACTTGCCTGTAAAGTGAAAATAACACTTTTTCCTAAGGTGCTGTTTGTTTGCCTAAAAAAAGAGGGAAATCAAAGAATAGGAAACATATTTCTAAGAAAAATTGTTTTGAGATTGTTTGGTTGGCTAAAAAAAGAAGGAAATCAAAGAATGAGAGATGAATTGTCACATTATTATTGGATAATGTGGGTGGTTTTTTAAGAAAATTTGTTTTGAGGTTGTTTGGTTGGCTAAAAAAAGAAGTAAATAAATTATAAGAAACATATTTCCTGTAATAGGTTCTTTTCTTGTGTTTGGTTCATTCATAAAAATAAGAAAATAGATAAGATGAGATGAGATGAGTTGTCATTATATTATTAGATGATGTGACCCACACTTAAGGAAATCGATTTCATAGCTTTTTTGGAGGAAATGGGTGGAAATAAAATGTTAATTAGATGAGATGAGTTGTCACCATATTATTGGATGATGTGAGTGATTTTTAAAGATGAGATGTGATGGAGATGAAATGAGTTGGATGATGTGACTTATTTCTTGTGTTTTGTTTATTTTTAGAATATGATATGAGATGAGTTGTGAGATGAAAATAATATTTTATTGGATGTTGTGGTGAGTTTTAGGAATGGAAATGGATAAAAATAATATTTTATTAATTTTCATGTACCATTTTCTTTTTCTTGATTTTTAGGAAACCAACCAAACAGCCCCTAAAAGAAAAGCATATTTGACTTCGGTAATTGGAAATTTTATTAAACTCCGATATTGCTTTCATAAGCATGATTTCTTTTATGATCATAGATTTAACTTATTGTAGGGGTAATAATATTCAAAATGTGAGAAGCAATGTAAAACTAAACTCAAAATATGAACAAAAGTGACATAAAGTAACCACCCACGGGTGGGACTTCTGGCTAGCGCTACGAAGAGTGAGGGAAGAGATCTCCCTTATTGGTCAGAGGTTCAAATCCCCGCTTCCGTATTCACCTGGTTTCTGTGGGTTTAAGGGTGGGTATAGAAACCCGAGGTTTTACTGGTTAGTTAACTCAACCCGTTGTATGCTCACCAGTTCGTGCCTACGCTGATCGCCCATTCACGTGGGTGATGAGCCCCTGGTAGCAAGGGTAGCTTCTTTCAGAGGTGGGATGGCTAAGGGATTCGAACCAGGGCCGCTGGCGGACTCCAAAAGAGTTAAAGTTGAGGGAACTAACCAGGTTTCCATTGTCAGCAAAAAAAAGTGACATAAAGTAAGTTTCTGATAAGATAAACTTATGTACATCCTACTTTATTTTAGCTTCTAGTAGATGGTTCCGAATATAATTTGGAGATCCCGAAAAGATCTAAGTTCTCTTTTTTTGGTTATCAGAGCCGGCCTAGGGGTAGGGCCACCAGGGCTACAGCCTGGGGCCCACAACTGAGGGGGCACTAGGGGTGGGTGAGCAAACTATGGGGTGAACTAATAAATAAAAAAAAACCACAATTACAACTCATAGCAATCTGTCACCGCCTCTTAGTCTTCTTCACCCCTACGCCTACGCCGGCTCTGCTAGTGCTAATTTCCTATCAACCCACCACCTCTTCTTCACCTCATCTCTTCCAGTCTTCCTTCACCAAATTCTCCTCTCTCTCTCTCCCTTCCCCTCTCTAAAATTATTCGACGGTTTGTATTGCGCCAAGGTCGCTCCTTGCTACTGGATTTTCAGATTTCTTCATGATTCTCCATTTGGGTATTTCACTATTTCTCAAAATTCTCTGAAATTCTTTATTTTTAGATTAATAGATTGAATTGGGGAAACCGTTTGAAGTTTTTGGAATCTCTCTGATTGATTTCTACGTGTGTTTGCAAGTAGAATTCCACGTGTCTAGTTTGCCGGTCGGACTTGAAGGCTCCGCCTTGTGTGTTTGGGGCCTTGGTGACTGATGTGTTGTTGGATGCTCATGTTATCAGCACCGGAGGAGAAGGGTGAGTTTGGTAATTTTTTGTCTTTAAAAAAATATAAAATTGGTGAAATGTTTTGTGGTGGGCGTAATGGGATTTCTCTGATTGATAACCAATGCGTGATAAATCTGGTGGAAAAAAAGTCATTATTCTGGTTCTTTGGATATTAATCCCCTAAACTTTCATACTTTCACATTAGTCCCCAATTAATCATTAGTCCTTCAAATCTTTTATGTGTTTTGAACTTAGTTCCTTTGTACATTTTTCATCCAAATTGTTAATCGTGACTGGGTAAAGTCTAATATTGCAAATTTAGATGTATAAATTTTGTAAATTGTAAATTTGTAATACATGTCTTTTTAACTTTTTCTTATTTATTATTTGATTCAACAGAAACATTGGCTGGGATTCTTGATCTTTATAATTGGAAGTTTCAAGTGGAAGAACATATGCTCAAAATCCAGGTTTTATTGTTCTTTGTTCTTTGTTAAGTGTTTATTATAAAAATTAAAAAATGTTTCCTAAGAAACAACTTTCCGGAAATCTCAAGACACAAAAAAAGAAAAAAAATGATAAAATTGCTCAAAGTTTAAGAGGATCTTTGAATAAATATTTTGTTAAACAAGCTAATGCTTCACTTGAAAATTTAGATGAAGATGATTTACCAAATGAATATGAACACCCAATATTGGAAGAATTAGTAGAAAATGAGAATGATGTGAATGAAGAAATTGGTGATCTAGATGAAAATGAAAATAGTGATGAACCTTTCCTTGATGAAAATGAAAATATTGATGAACCTTGCCATGAAAATGAATGTCCCGATGAACCTTTCCTTGATGAAAATGAAAATATTGATGAACCTTGCCATGAAAATGAAAATAGTGATGAACCTTTCCTTGATGAAAATGAAAATATTGATGAACCTTGCCATGAAAATGAATGTCCCGAAACAAGATTTGATTTGAACATTTATGATCCACGAGTTTGGGATAATCTTGATGCAAAAATGAGAGATTTACTTGTAGAAAAAGGTCCCCTAAGAGAAACTAATCTCAAATTCCCCATGGACGAACACAATAGACATTTTTCTTCAAATTATTATATTCGTACGTTACCAAATGGGGAAACTAAGGATCGAAAATGGCTAGTGTACTCAAAGGAGTTGGATAAAGTGTTTTGTTTCTGTTGTAAGTTGTTTAAAACAATGAATTCTAGAAGTCAGTTAACTAGTGAAGGAATTAGAGATTGGAAACATCTTGGTGAGAAGCTTAGACAACATGAAAGCAGCATTGAACACCTCACTAACTTGAGGTCTTGTGTTGAATTGCAAATCAGATTGAAAACAAATCAAACAATTGATACAGAATTACAAGAGCTAATCAAGAAAGATACACTACACTGGAAAAATGTTATTGTCAGAATCATTGCTGTTGTGAAATATCTTGCTATACATAATTTGGCTTTTCGTGGAACAAATGAAAAAAATTTATGAAGATGGTAATGGTAACTTTTTAGGCCTGCTTGAAATGATTGCAGAGTTTGATCCAGTAATGCAACACCATTTTCGACTCATTCAAGATAAGAAGATTCATTATCATTATCTTAGTCATAAAATTCAAAATGAGTTGATGGCTATTTTAGCATCAAATGTTAAACATGCAATCATTGAAAAAATAAAAACAGCTAAATATTTTTCTGTCATTCTTGATTGTACTCCTGATGCAAGTCACAAAGAACAAATGACTTTAATATTGAGGTGTGTAGATGTTTCAAGTACTCCAATAAATATAGAAGAGTACTTTTTAGAGTTTCTGAATGTGGAAGATACATCTGGATTAGGACTTTTTAATGAATTGCAAAATGTAATTGAGTCCCTTACACTTAATATTGATGATGTGAGGGGACAAGGTTATGATAATGGCTCTAATATGAAAGGAAAAAATCTAGGTGTACAAAAAAGATTACTTGATATAAATCCTAGAGCATTTTACATGCCATGTGGTTCTCATTGTCTCAACTTAATAGTTTGTAATATGGCCAACTCATGTGTTAAAGCAAAATCTTTTTTTGGAGCATGTCAATGCATATATACGGTATTCTCTAATTCAACAAAGCGATGGAATGTGTTATTTGATTACATAGATGGTTTGACTTTGAAATCATTGTCAACTACACGTTGGGAAAGTCACATTGAAAGTGTCAAAGCAATAAAATCTCAAGCTTCCCAAATTAGAGAAGCTTTATTTAAATTAACAGAAATTAGTGAAGATGCCAAATTGAGTAGGGATGCTCAAAGTTTAGCATCAGGAGAGCTTTCAAGTTTTGAATTTATATTAAGTTTGGTTATTTGGCATGACATTTTGCATAAGATTAACTTAGTTAGTAAAAAGTTACAATCTGAAGACATGCGTCTTGATGCTGCTGTAAGACAATTAGAAGGACTTGTGTTATTTTTTGAAAACTATAGAATAAATGGGTTTGTTTTTGCCATGATTAATGCTAAACAAATTTCCCTTGATATGGGAATTGAGCCTATATTTCCAAAAAAACGTCAAGTTTGTAGAAAAAGGCATTTTGATGAGGTTTCCAATAGTGATAGGGAACAACAATCAGCTGAAGAATCATTTAGAACTGATTATTTTCTTGTTATAGTGGATATTGCTCTTGGTGAATTGAAGAATAGGTTTGAACAATTGCATTGTTTTGAATCTATTTTTGGGTTCTTATTTGATGCTGCAAAATTGACTTCGCTTGATGATAATGAATTAAAAAGTTTTTGTGTGAATCTTGAAAATGCTTTAAAACATGGTGATGTTTCCAATGTTGATGCAAGAGACATATTTTCAGAATTACAAGTGTTGCAAGTGATGTTACCAAAAGAAGCATATGAAACAGATAAACCATGGACATCCATTAAAATTCTTGAGTTTGTAAAGAGTGTGGATATGTTTCCTAATGTAATGGTTGCTTATAGGATATTATTGACTATACCTGTGACTGTGGCATCTGCTGAAAGAAGTTTTTCTAAATTAAAATTATTAAAATCTTACTTGCGGACCACCATGACTCAAGATAGGCTAAATGGATTAGCGATATTATGCATTGAAAAGGATATGTTAGAGAACATTAAATATGATAGCATAATTGATGATTTTGCATCTAAAAGTGCAACAAGAAGACATTTTAAATGATGTTTTTGTAGTTGAGATTTCATTGCTATTTTTATTTTGTAGGTACATGTGATGATGCTTTGCTTCGATTAATTGTGGAGGATGAAAAGAAGATTGATCAAATCAAGAAATGCTTATGGAGATTTGAGAGGAAGCATGTAGACTCAAATATGTAGTTTTCATTTTTTAATGCAATGTTTACAATCCAGGGGTACTCTTTTTCCTTCTTTTAATGCAATGAAAAGAAGATTGTCTTTTGTAAAATCTTATAATTTTAATAAAGTTAATTAATTGATAATTTATTTATTTGTTTGTTTAATTTGTATAAATGGGGCACACAGAGAAAATTTGCCCTGGGCCTTAGAAAACCCAGGACCGGCTCTGTTGGTTATAAATACAATATGAATGTGATTGTCGTCAAAATTTATGATACGTACATGTTTTCTTTGAAATAAGTTACGATTCAAACATATGGATGTAACTTTCTATTACTTCAAAGGTAAATAAAGAATTTACATATAATTGACTTAAAATTGAAGAATCATGAATTCGAAGCATTGTTATAAGACAATAGTATAATTTATTTACAGTAGTGGAACTCTAGAGTTGAATTTATCTTATAACAATCTATGGTCTATAGGCCTGTCCATCCGGCCCGGCCCGGCCCGGAAATCCGGGCCCGGGCCGGGCAAAACCGGGATCCGGACCCGGGTACCCCGGGCCGGGTCCGGGCCCGGGCCCAGGCCCGACCGGGCCGGGTTCCGGGTTGGCCCGGGTGATTTTCTTTTTTTTTTTAATTTTTTTTTCTAATTTTTTTATGTTATTTAAATTATAAATTATAAAAAAGATAAGAAAAATAATAAAAACAATAATTTTATTAATTACTTAAAATGGCATAAATTACAAATAAAAAATAATAAAAACAAATTCTTTATTAATAATTAATAAATCATTTACAAATTACAAGTACAAATTTATTTTGGAATTAATCGCATCACAATAGATAAGTAAATCCCAACTAGGTTGGCACCTACTCACCTATATCACTATCATTTGCAATTATTTCCAAAATAATTCTTTACAAATTTTAAGCTAAGATATAAAAACTACAATCTATTCTTTATATCTATCTGCTAGACCCAATTCTTCAAATTTATCTTCAATTCCAGCCATCCGATCGATGCCTTGCGTTCGCTTCTCGTACCTCGACCAATCTTGTAGGCACATCACCGCTTGTATAGTATACGGATCCAAGCATGTCCTGTGATCGTCGATCAAATGACCTGCTGTGCTGAAGGCGGATTCCGAAGCTACCGTCGAAACCTGCACTGTTAGTAAGTCACGAACCATGGTGGAAAGTATAGGATATGAAACTGATCCATATACTTTCCACCATTGCAAAATATCTAAAGCATTTCCTTGACATCTAACTAAAGAAGCAGAAAAATATTCATCTATTTCAGAAACCTCCGATGATGATGATCCAAGTCCAGATCCACCAGTTAGCTCAGCTACCATTGCATACCTATCAAAACTTACACTTTTACCTCGGGCTCGGGATGAGCTCGAAGAAACCGAAGCTGTAGACTGTTGTGCAGCTACACCATGTCTAGCTGCATACTCATCATATAAGGTTTGAAAATAATTTCTAATAAGTAAATGATGAGTAGTAGCATTCAGGGTGGTTCCATCATCTAAGTCTATAACCTGTCCACCATACAATGACTGTAACAAACTTCGAAGGCCAATATCCTTCAAGCATGGATCAATAAGAACCCCCAAACCAAAAATATGAGGAATAGGCCTAAAGTACTTATTAAATTTGCTCTCCATTTCAAAAACCATAGGTCCAAAAGTAGCATCCAAACGATATTTATCAAAAAATTTTTGAATATTTAAAATTTGTAAAGCAGCTAAAGTAATGGTTGGATAATAACAGCCAGATAATAACATTGTAGCATCATAAAAAACTTATAACATTTTATTTAAATTACATATAACTGTCCATTCATCTTCAGTTATTCCATAAGTGCTACCAGAACTAGAACTAGAAGCATAATAGTTTATAAAATCAGTTATAATGTCTTTATATTCTATTGCTACACTTAACATTGCATATGTGGAATTCCACCTATGGTCAACATCTTTTGGAATTAGTCTAGGCTTTACATTTTTTCTTTTACAAAATTGTTTCCATCTTTTAAGTCTTTGTTCAGAAGCACTATGCATGTAAGCAACTGTTCTAACCTTTTCTATCATGGGTTTAATTTCAGTAAATGCACTTTGAACAATTAAATTTAAAATATGACAGATGCACCTAATATGAAAAAGATCACCATGACATGGCAATGATAAAGATGATCTGATAAAATCAACAGCTACATTGTTATTACTTGCATTATCTAGTGAAAGAGAAAATATTCTTTGTGAAATTTCTAATTTCATAAGTTCTTCAATTATTAAATTTGCAACATTAGCACCAGTATGTGACTCTTCTATTGCAATAAAAGAAACAACTCTTTTAAACATTTGCCAATTTTCATCAATCCAGTGTGCTGTGATACATAAATATCCAGTTTGTGCTCTAGATGTCCAAATATCAGAAGTTAAAGAAAATTTACAGTTTAAATTTTTAAAATAAGAAATTATTTTTTCTTGTTCTTGCTGATAATATTTTAAAATATCACGTTGACAGGTTTGACGAGAAATTTTTTTAAATGCAGGATAAAAACCATCTCTAAACATATCTTCAAATTCATCATCTTCTACTAATTTAAAAGGAAGGTTTTTAAGAATGATAAACCTGATTACGCATTTCCTGGCTCTGGCAGCGTCATAGTTCCAACTACCGAGACTACCAGAAGAGGAGGATTGAGAAATCATAGATTGTCGGATATCACCTTGAGGAGTCTGGCCTTTGTTGTGTTTATCTAAATGGCGTTTGAGGTGGTTGGTGCCGCTCTTATGATGAGCTTGAAAAATCTTGCCGCACAAAGCACACTTAGCCTTCTGGGTGAGGATCCTACCGTGTTCATCCTTGGTGACGTCGATCTTCTCGTAAAAATTCCACACATCGGATCTTGGCCGTTTAGGAGCTCTTGGTGCAGATTCGTCGCCACCGGATTCGGGATTAACTTCGGTAGGAGGACTGATAGTAGGAGGACTCATAGTAGGAGGACTCAATTCAGGATCGGGAGATATGTTTTGCCCGGCATATTTCCGGCAACGGTCACGAGTCGTGACCGTTGCCACACGGGCCGGGCTCCGGGCCCGGGCTGTCCGGCCCGGATGTCACCCGACGCCGTACTGTTCCGGGCCGGGCCGGGCGCCGTTGAGGCAACCCGGACCCGGGCCCGGAACCCGGCCTGGCCCGGATTTCCGGGCCGAGGTCGGGCCCGGGCCGGGCCCGTGGGTAAAATGGACAGCCCTAATGGTCTATGATCAAAGAAAAAAGATGTTCGAGGAGATCAGAATGCAATTTGCAAATTTAGAAGTACAAGAAGTAAAATATAGTAAAATATAGGTTTTTGAAACGGACATGCACGTAAAAGAAATAAACGCTATTTGGATTGGCCTAGATTGATCTAATATTTATACTTAGTTTAGCTTATGAAGAGCGAATTCTTCTAGAGTGCAATTTTCGATTCGGCCGTGCGACAGCAGACGAGGTGGAGAGAGAAGGGCGGTGATCTGACCCCTCTTTTACTTAAACAAAGTTTTGTGAAGCTGATCACATTATTGGAAATATCAAGATGCATCAGCCCTAAGCGCATTACACATGTTCCTTAGGAAGCTAACATAGTCACCGATGAATCAAATATATATACTAGTCACCGATGAATCAAATATATATACTTAGGGAAAATTTATTGCTTATTAGTTAGATTTACATTCATGCTTGTAGTGTAGATTTATTTCCTTGTCTTTTTATTTCTTTTTGCACTTTATTTTGTAGAGTAGATTTATTTTCTTGCATTTAATTTTTGAAATTTATTTTGTAGTTTAGATTTTAATTCTTTGTAGTTAGATTTATTTCTTGTTCATAGTTTAGATTTTTATTTTCTTTTTAATTTTGTAATTAGTTCTTTTTCTTATTGTTTTTATTTCTTAAGATGTGAAATTAATTCTTATAGGAATATTAGAATTGTATGATGCTAGCCTAATTTCCTTTATATTATGCAAATTATTCTCTTACACTTAAAATATTCATGTTTAGGATAATCAACTAGAGAACTAATCGGTAGAAGAAAAATTTGATAATCTATGCTTATCTTAAATGGTTTGATAGGTTATGCTTATGAATTCTAGGATTACTATCTTATTGTTGTTCTTATCATGAATAATAATTTTGACTTAGATGATAATTTGATAGGTTATACTTTTCTTAAATGGTTTGATAGTCTATGCTTAATAAATCTAAGTTAAAATATGATAAAAAGAGAATAGTTTGTATTTTGTAATTAAGATTAGTTAGTGAATTAAATTCTAGATTTCTCATATCTTAAATTGAAACATCCATCTTGACTTTCTTGAATTTTCTTTTCATTCTTGATTTTATTCCTTGATTTTATTCATTCTTCTTTCTTGCCTTATGATTTCATTTATTCTTTGATTCTTATTTCTTTTCTCTAAAATTCAATTTATTGTCTCTTGCATATATTCACAACAATCACTCATCACAATCACACTTATTCTTTAATCCTATTTTGTCACACACACAACATAAGAACCTATTCTAATAATCTCTTAAAATCACCTTCCTCGTGGGATCGATAACTTTTATACTATAACTTGATCAATTGTGCACTTGTAATTTTGGTACATAATTATGTCGCATCAAATTTTTGGCGCCGTTGCCGGGGAATGTGCTAAAATAGGATTTTATTATTTTGATTCTTTAACTTGTGTGTTTTCTTGTGAAGGAACCGCTTGGAGCTTGAAAGTCTTGGATTGAAGATCAAGAACTTAGAGAATTGCTTTCGGGTAAGTCCTCTTTCTAGCGTTTTCAATTCCACCCTTTTTAGTTAGCTTCACAATTAGAGACAATTAGGATTAAAAAATAAAAATAAAAAGATTTTATTTTTGTTGACCATAATAAAATCCACCTTTCACTTGGACATTAACTAACAAGATAATAAATTCAAACAAGAGCTCTCTTCTCACATTTGATTGTTAT